ATGTGCGGACGTGTGTGCTCATCCGTGTGCTCATCCGTGTGCGGATGTGTGTGCTCATCCATGTGCGGACGTGTGTGCTCATCCGTGTGCTCATCTGTGTGCGGACGTGCGTGCTCATCCGTATGCGGACGTGCGTGCTCATCCGTATGTGGACGTGCGTGCTCATCCGTGCGTGCTCATCCGTGTGCAGACGTGCGTGCTCATCCATGTGCGGACGTGCGTGCTCATCCATGTGCGGACGTGTGTGCTCATCCATGTGCGGACGTGTGTGCTCATCCGTGTGCTCATCTGTGTGCGGATGTGCGTGCTCATCCATGTGCGGACGTGTGTGCTCATCCGTGTGCTCATCCGTGTGTGCTCATCCGTGTGCGGACGTATGTGCATTCACCCGTGTGCACAGCTCCTACTTGTGTGCCACCATCAAGGCAGAAGTGTGGCGCGAATCTCCTGTGGGGTGGCCCTGCGGTGCTGGGTGTCTGGTGCGGGCCAGCGCTGTGCTGCCCCCTGCCTCTCAGCTGTCAGCCCCCCTTTGGAGGTTGGGGCCCTGAAGTGACTTTCTCGGCCACGCCGTGGTGAGGGGCAGGTCAGATTCCTCCTGGTTGGCTCCCTGCGCCCGTGCGCGCGTTCCTGCTTATAGCATCTCTGCGTGCAGCCCCGTGGGGCAGGGAACGTTCGGAAGGCAAGTTGACAGGGAGGGGCTGGAAGGTCTGACTCGGGTCTCCAAGGCCTTGAGCTCCTGGCTGAGGCTCTGAGGCTCGGAAGGTGATGTGAGGGCACTGCCAGTGGCCTTCCCAGGCAGTGACGTGGCCTGGGTGGGGTTTGGGGTGCTACCACATTGACAGTGACATTGACGGTTACAGAGACGTGACCCCAAGACCAACGGGAGAAGGAGGTTCAGGAAAGTGGGGCGTGTCCAGAAGAGAGGGCAGGAGCTGGGACGGACCTGCCCTCCGGGGACCGCCACGCGTCTCGTGGGACGTGCCGGCACCCGGGTGGGGCTTTGAAGTTTTCGGCAGGAACAGGAGGTGGCAGGAAGCCCTTCTGAGGATAGACACACAAGGGGGAAGGCACGCTGGGGGGGAAGAAGGCCAGCCTGCTCTGCGGCCCTGGGCTTGTCGTCGGAGCCTCCGGCCTCTGCGGCCACAGGGGCACGGCTGCTGGCAGAGGGGCCTTTACCAGGTGCCGGGGTGGTCAGCCTGGTGGGTGGGCATCGCTGCCTGACGGAGCGCCGGTCACCGCCCAGGTCTCAGCTTTACTGGCTGCCCGGGTGGTCAGCCTGGTGGGTGGGCATCGCTGCCTGACGGAGCGCCGGACACCGCCCAGGTCTCAGCTTTACTGGGTGCCCGGATGGTCAGCCTGGTGGGTGGGCATCGCTGCCTGACGGAGCGCCGGACACCGCCCAGGTCCCAGCTGCTTCGTGCAGGCTGCGAGCAGAGCCCTGGGACACGATTACGCATCCAGAGGGGTGGGGTGTGCCCCTCAAACCCAAAATATTTCTGAATTCACTTTCTAAATCCGTTGTTCTTGTTTAGTTACCCTTTCTTAGAACTCCCACTAAGAGCAAACAGACTGTTTGGGAACCAGGTGCTTTGTCTTCGTGGCACACGTGAATATCCCATAATGTCAACATTCCTGGGCTGTGCTTCTGCCCAGGTGGCCTGTGGGCCCCTCCTCCCCCAAGGGCCCCCAGCCTGGCTGCTGAGTCTCTCCCTCCACGCCGGCTCCTCTCCCCCGGCTAACTGGCTTGTCTGCTCTCCTGTGAGGCCCGGGGTCGGATGCACTGGTCTCTGTTGGCTGACGTGACTTCTGGAAACCTTACTGGTTCCAGCATCGTGGTCATTTGAAATTGCCAAGTGGCGTGACAGTAGGCAGCATCTGAAGCCATAAGGTTTTATCGTGTGTCAGTTAGCTGCTGCTGCCGGAAACCCACCCCAAAACTCGGCGGCTTAAAACAGCCAGTATTTCTCACTGCTCTGAACCTGCGGGCCAGCAGGCTTCTGCTGACTAGGGCTCTGCTGACCTCGGCTGGCCTCGTCACGTCCTCTCCGCGGCCATGTCAGCTGGGGCAACTGGTCGAAGGTGGCCTCACTCGTGTGTCTGGCCCGTGTGCATCCAGCCCCGGGCCCCCAGGCCTCCAGCCAAAAGGCCAAGAGAGTCGGGTGGTGGCCAGCACCCCAGACTGGGTGAGTACCCCGGTTCTGTCTCAGGCCTTCAGAGTGCGACCAGCGTGCCTCATCTGCCCCCTCCCCCACACAGTTAGAGATGGCCCCCCTGCCAGCTCGTTCATTGTCGCGGGTGGCCTGAGGTTGCCTGGGAGGCCCCGGCAGCTCTGAAGGGTGGAAATGCCGCCTGACCCCATGGTGTCCGCTCACCACCCTGAGCGAGGAGGCGGCCGGGTGGGGCCTGAGGTCCGTGTCTCAGCTGAGGAGCTGAGAGTAGACTGTGGTGCAGCACCATGGCGGGAGGAGAAAGGGCTGACCCGCAAAGCCCTCGGCTCAGCTGCTGTCCCCACACAGCGTCCTGTGTGGCTGTGACACAAAGTGCGTGCGCCGCGGGTGGGGGTGGGGGGC